CCCATACCAATGTCCTTTTCACTGCCATACTTCATACCAGCCTCTGGCATTTTAGGGTCTCAACTTATTAATCTTCAGATATACAGTATATCCCATAGTTTGTAGACTCTATAACTTTCACACAGACTAAATTATATACACTGTTTCGGGTTATGTAACCCCAAAAATGTAGCAGAATGCATTTTGGCCTAAATTTTTGAATAAAGATTATTTGTTTGCAAAATTTTATACAAAAACTAAGCAAAACAAGTTTGTTTTTTTTATTTTCGGTGATTTTTTTTATTTATTTAGCAAAAAATAAAAAACACAGTAGTGATCCAAGACTACCAAAAGAAAGCACTACCTATGTGAAAAAAATGTTCAACGTTTCATTTGGGTACAGTGTTGCAAGAACATGCAATTGTCATTCAAAGTGTGACAGCACTGAAAGCTGAAAATTGGCCTAGACTGGAAGAGGGTGAAAGTGTCCAGACTTGAAATGGTTAAAGGGCAGAAATCGAAAATTGGTAGTGAAATTTTTGAGCAAAAACAATCAGAGGAAACGTTTGGAAAAACTTTTGCTGAACGGACGATAAATTGAAAGGTAAATGTGTTTCTTGCCCATTAAAATCGAACACTTGGTACTGCACATATGTGATCCAGAAGCACAAAAACGGGTGTAAAACTGATTAATTAATGTCCATTGAATGATTTATCAATTGAAATTTGGTCTTTACATGATGGCAATATCGTTTGCTCTCACGACCATGTGTTAATTTTTCGAAAACCCATTTAGATTATTTTTCGACTAGCATAAGGCTTGTTAAGGTGCAACAAATATACCTGCAGATACCTGTGGCTATATCCCCAGCAGTAAAAATCAAAGAACCTCTACAACTATTACCTAAGCAATTAACAAGCTATATATTGGCAACAGTTTTTACATGTTAAAAGTAAACCCAATCTCTAAAATCTCACATAAGCTATACCATGCTAATGAAATGGTCAGTGACCATTTCATTACACATTACCAAGCATGGTTCACCAAGCCATGCAGCCACTGCTGAAGTACATGCATGTAAACAGGGAGTAGCTGCAAAGAGGCTGCAGGAGCAGCAATGAACTGTAACATCTGGTGATCCTTCCATTTTCTGTCCAGGGTGACAACGCTCACTCACTGTATTGTATCTACGGAGAAGCGCTGTTACCCTAAGACAGCAATTGTGTTAGGACTACAGAACACGCCCTCCATAACATGGGGGGGGGGGGGGGGTCTGTAGTTTTCAGTGGTGACTTCAGCAGAAAGATTAGATTGCAGAGTGCACAAGTACAGCACTGAATCTATGGCAGTATCAACGGGTATTTTTTGCTCTTATTAAAAGGATATCAGAAAACTCTTTTAATGGTATATTTTTGCAGACCAAAAGAGAAAGAACATGAGAAGTTCATTGTTAGTGCTTACATACGCTTTAAAAAAATGAAAGGGATTGGATAGGTTGGAAGATTTAAATTATTAGGCTGACCATGTGAGGTATGGAACGATAAATTGATTCTGAAACTTTGTTTTCGTTTTTTATTTAATTTTTTCATAAATATTTGAGAGTGAAAGTGATTGCATTGATTTACTGCTTGAGCTGAAACGAGCAAATAGTTTTTACAGACTAGGTGACAAGAATGAAGAACCAAGGGCCCTATAATGAGTTATGGAGCTGAAGTTAATTTGTTAATTATACAATGCTTTATGACCTATATTAACAAAAAGCACATTAGGGGCCCATTCTCATGTGTGTTGGGGTGCCATGATAAATGAACAGCACAGCAATGCAAATCCCATCGCACAGACCATCCTTCTTTGAGGTGCAGCAGTAATATTGCACATTATTGTGTGTTGTATTAAGACAGCTTATCAAAATGAATAGGCCACCAATGCACTTCACTATACTGAAAATTGCACATAAACCTTTTTTCTAATGCAATGAAATGCACTACTAAGTGTTGCAATGCACTACAACACAGGTGTCTTGCCCTCTTGAGATGGGGCACAATGTAAAAATAGTGGCACTGAAGTATAGTAATGCATATTAAAGTATATGTTCCCCCAACATTTCATATTCCTGATATGTGCCTGTTGTGCTATGTACTGTATGAAAATTGTATCCTGTCCTCTTTGTATCCTTTGTGTGAAATACTTGGTGTTTGTGCCAGTCCCTCTGCTTTCCCAATTACAACTTACCACGCTAGGCATGAGAACACATTCCCAGCATGGTCAGTTTTCTGGTTGTGCTGGGAGAACAGACTGCCTGTCCTCCAATGGTCAGACTTGTGTTGACACACCCCCACTGCACAGCTCTTCTGTGGGAAGATCATTGTACTTCTGTTTCTCCACCCCACATCTTTAAGCCTCTTATGCAGCTGAGAACAAAGGTTTTATATATATATATATATATATATATAAAAGGATATGGTAATATATACTGTAGATGGATTGGGGACAGTAGAAGGGGAGGATCAGTGAAGACAGGATCAAGAAGCCTTTTTACACAATGCTGTTTGTCTGATTCTACTGTTGTGGGTTTAGTAAGACTTTAAAGAATATGTAAACCCAATATGTCATGCTCCTGATATGTGCCCGCTGTACCATGTACTTGTGTGAAAAAGTAGCCTGTTTTCTTTGTATTGCTTCCTTTGTGTGAAACCCCTGGTGTTCCTACCAGTCCCTTTGCTTTCCTAATAAAAACTGGCCACACTAAGCAGAAGAGAGCACAGCATGGTCCACTCTCTAGCTGTGCTGGGAACTCAGCCTGCTCTCCTCCATTGATCAGACTTGTCTTCTGAGCTCAGAAGATTCAAGCATGGTACTGTGATAGCTTGCCACCTGTGCAATAAGTCCATCCGGGAAATTTCCTTGCTACTAAATATTCCACGGTCAACTGTTAGTGGTATTATAACAAAGTGGAAGCAACTGGGAACAACAGCAACTCAGCCATGAAGTGGTAGGCCACATAAAACGACAACGTGGGGTTAGTGCATGCTGAAGCACATAGTGCAGAGAAGTCACCAACTATCTGCAGAGTCAATAGCTAAAAACCTCCAAACTTCATGTGGCCTTCAGATCAGCACAACCACAGTGCATAGAGACTTGCATGGAATGGGTTTCTATGGCCGAGCAGCTGCATCCGAGCCTTACATCACCAAGTGCAATGCAAAGCACTGGATGCAGTGGTGTAAAGCATGCCACCACTGGACTCTAGAGCAGTGGAGACGTGTTCTCTGGAGTGATGAATCACGCTCCTTTGTCTGGCAATCCGATGGATGTGTCTGGGTTTGCCAGTTGCTAGGAGAATGATACTTGCCTGACTGCATTGTGCCAAGTGTAAAGTTTGGTGGAGGGGGCATTATGGTGTGGGGTTGTTTTCCAGGGGCTGGGCTTGGCTCCTTAGTTCCAGTGAAGAAAAACTCTATAGGCATCTGCATACCAGGACATTTTGGACAATTTCATGCTTCCAACTTTGTGGAAACAGTTTTTTGGGGATGGCCCCTTCCTGTTCCAACATGACTGCGCACCAGTGCACAAAGCAAAGTCCACAAAGACATGGATGAGCAAGTTTGGGGTGGAGGAACTTGACTGGCCTGCACAGTCCTGACCTCAATCCGGAAGAACACCTTTGGGATGAATTAGAGCGGAGACTGTGAGCCAGGCTTTCTTGTCTGACATCAGTGCCTGACCTCACAAATGCACTTCCTGAAAGAATGATCAAACATTCCCATAGACACACTCCTAAACCTTGTGGACAACCTTCCCAGAAGAGTTGAAGCTGCAAAGGTGTGGGCCAACTCAATATTGAACCCTACAGATTAAGAATAGCATGCTATTAAAGTTCATGTGTGTGTAAAAGCAGGTTACATAGTTACATAGTTAGTCTGGCTGAAAAAAAACAAAAGTCCATCCAGTTCAACCATAAAAGGTGTCCCAATACTTTTGGCAATATAGTGGAATTGTGAAGTGGAAAGAAAATAATAAATGGTTTTCAGATATTTTTACAAATAAATATCTGAAGAGTGTGACATGCATTTGTATTCAGGCTCCTTTATTCTGATATCCCTAACTAAAATCTAGTGGAACCAATTGCCTTCAGAAGCCACCTAAATAGTAAATAGAGTCCACCTGTGTGTAATTTAATCTCAGTATAAATACAGTAGTTCTGTGAAACCTTCATGTTAGAGAACATTAGTGAACAAATAGCATCATGAAGTCCAAGGAACACACCAAGGCCAAGGTCAGGGATAAAGTTGTGGAGACGTTTTAAAGCAGGGTTAGCGTATAAAAAATATCCCAAGTTTTGAACATCTCATGGAATACTGTTCAATCCATCATCCAAAAATGGAAAGAGTATGGCACAACTGCAAACCTACCAAGACATGGCCGTCCACCTAAACTGACAGGCCGGGCAAGGAGAGCATTAATCAGAGATGCAGACAAGAGGCCCATGGTAACTCTGAAGGAGCTGCAGAGATGCACAGCTCAGGTGGGAGAATCTGTCCACAGGACAACTATTGGTCATGCACTCCACAAATCTGGCATTTATGGAAGAGTGGCAAGAAGAAAGCCATTGTTGAAAGACAGCCATAAGAAGTCCCGTTTGCAGTTTGTGAGAAGCCAGGTGGGGGACACAGCAAACATGTGGAAGAAGGTGCTCTGGTCAGATGAGACCAAAATGTAACTTTTTGGCCTAAAAGAAAAACGCTATGTGTGGCAAAAAATAAACACTGCACATCACCCTGAACACACAATCCCCACCGTGAAACATGGTGGTGGAAACATCATGTTGTGGGGATGCTATTTCTTCAGCAGGGACAGGGAAGCTGGTCAGAGTTGATGGGGAGATGGATGGAGCCAAATACAGAGCAATCTTAGAAGAAAACCTGTTAGAGTCTGCAAAAGACTTGAGACTGGGGCGGAGGTTCCCCTTCCAGTAGGACAACGACCCTAAACATACAGCCAGAGCTACAATGGAATGGTTTACATCAGGCCTTGACATTTCCACTTGCCTGCTCGTCAATGGCGAATGGAAATTATGGTGGGGGCGAGTGTGTCCCCCAGGGCAGTCTTGCTGAGCAGGCTCGGAGCTCAGGCCGGATCTGTCATTGGCACTGGGAGCCGTCAAACTGCTCAATAGCTGAGCGCAGTGAAAGCAAAGGAAGGAGTGTGTGCTGTGCTCTCTGCCTCCCCCTAGAGTGCAGTACCTGGCTTTGTGAGTGAACAACGAAGTACTGCAACTTTTTATAGGTGTGTGTGTTTGTGTGTGTCTGTGTATGCATGTACATGTGTCTGTATGTATGTACATGTGTGTATCTGTACATGTGTCTGCGTGTATGTACATGTATGTGTGTGTGTGTGTACATTTGTCTGTGTGTGTATGTACATGTGTGTGTGTTTGTGTGTATGTACGTACATGTGTCTGTGTGTACATGTGTCTCTGTATGTATGTACATGTGTCTGTGTGTATGTACATGTGTCTGTGTGTGCGTATTTCTGTGTATGTACATGTATCTGTGTGTATGCGTGTCTGTATGCCTGTGTGTGTATACATGTGTCTGTATGTGTGTGTGTGTGTGTGTGTGTGTGTACATGTGTCTCTCTGCATGTGTGTACATGTTTCTGTGTGTATGTACATGTCTTTGTGTGTGTACAGGTGTCTCTGTTTGTGTGTGTTTGTTGGTGGTGAGTAACTCTTAAGGCCTGGCTGGTAGCTCAGGACTTGAAAGAAGAATGGGCAAAAATGTCACTCTCTAGATGTGCATAACTGGTAGAGACATCCCTAAAGGGACTTGCAGCTGTAATTGCAGTGAAAGGTGAATCTACAAAGTATTGACTCAGGGGGGCTGAATATAAATGCACACCACACTTTACACATATTTATTTGTAAACAATTTTGAAAACCATTTATCATTTTCCTTTCATTTTACAATTATGTGCCATTTTGGCTATAGTGCTAATCAAAGCACAACTCTGCAACAAGAACAATCAAGAGCACTCAATCCTTAGATCCTCCATGGTGCCTCCCCACGTCTTTGTCAGTATGTAAAATTGGATGGCCGGCAACGCATATGTGTGGCGTGTGGATGTTGAAGTGGTTGTAAAGGCTTCTATGCATGAAAACCTACTGTGTGCAGCAGCACCCCCCCCTCCCAATCCCATTGGGATACAGCGATGTGCACAAGAGATCGGCTCTCATGGGATTCTTTACTGACTGAGCCAGCAGTGGGAGGCATTGGCTCCCACTGCTGTCAATTACAGCCAGTGAGCCAATGAAGAGGAGAGAGGTGGTGGACACACAGAGCAGCTGCTCGAGCCTGCTTGGGTGCCCCCATAGCAAGCTGCTTGCAATGGGGGCACCCAACAGGAGGGAGGGGCCAGGAGCTCCGAAAGGGGGACTCGAGAAGAGGAGGATCAGGGCTGCTCTGTGCAAAACCATTGTACAGAGCAGGCAAGTGTAGACATGGTTGTTATTGAAAAAAAAAAAAAATGCCTTTAATATCATTTTAACGTCCACCCTTTTGCCACTGCCACTGTCGCACATACAGTATGTGTTGGGTTGTCGTAAAGGGGATAATCACTCCAACAACTCCAATTTAGTGATCATTTTCTCTGCTCTAGCTTTAAGGGTTCCTTCAAAGAGGGTTGTACAGTATGCAGAATTAATAATAATATTATTATTATTATTATACAGGATTTATTTTGTGCAGTGCTTTACAAAATGAAGGTAGACATTACAGTTACAATACAATTTGGTACAAGAGGGCCCTGCTCGTTAGAGCTTACAATCTAGGAGGAATGGTTGGGTGATACAAAAGGTAACAGAATTGTAAATGTTTACTCATGCAGGAGTGACAAGTTTTAAAAATCATTAATTTGCCTGGTTTACCTTTACCACCGTGCATGAAAGTGAAAGAAATTCACACATTTTTAGTTGTCCTCAGAACAGAAAGAGAGGAAAAGTCTTCCAAATGAGGACACTAGTTCTGGTGACCTCCTGGGATTCCCTCACTTTGGAGGGATTTCCTTCAACTTCCTGTTTTGGCAGTGGAACAGGAAGTAAAGGGAAATCTCTCCAAGGGGACAAAGATGACAAAAAATACTGAAAAAAAAGTTTTGCCTTTAGTCATTTTGTAAAGCGCTGCGCAACTGTTGGCACTATACAAGTCCTGTATAATAACGATAATAGTTCTGCTTTAATGGATCCCAATATGACACATGCTACTACAATCAAAGTATGTATGGGCTTTATGGGCGCGATTCTCTGACCACCCTCTCTGATCAGCTCCAAAACCTTTAGAAATCAAAGTAATCAGTAGAACTATAAAACGATCTACAGCTAGGCACAAATACATCCATTTCACATACACCTGCATGACACTGAGGACAAATAATCTGCAGCATATATTCATCTCCATGAAATGGCACTGACCTGGTAGACGGGTATGCAACGATGAGCGGACACCCCGCCGGTATACAGTCCTCTCATTACCTACATAGACCACACTCGTCTACTTGTTGACTGTGGAAACCATGGTTGCTAAGCTCCGACCAATCACAGAGCGGCTCACACTCCGGCATCGTGCAGGGAAGGTGAGGGGTGGAGTGGGGAGGAGCTGTTGTTCTACAGCATGAACTGATTGGCTCCTACTGTGGTGACGTGTCCTATACCTGCTGTGGCTCTCTGTGTACCTGGAGCAAAGGTCTGATTGTAGGCGTCATCCTCGGATCGCTCTATTCCCGTCGGAGCTCAGCGCTCTTCTCATTATGACTTCTTGTTCCAGGAATCAGAGAAATGATTTGTAGAAAGTTAGATGTCCAATGATCTCCCCAGTGTTCAATGAAGGGCTGGGCTCGTCTACTAACAGACGCAGGGGCGGACTGACAACTCATGGGGCCCCCGGGCAATAGGGGATCATGGAGCCCCTTAGTCCTTGCCCAAACTCAAAAAAGCCTATGAAAAAGGTACCAGGGGCATCTCATGGGGCCCCCTACTAACCCCGGGCCCTCGGGCAGTGCCTGAGTTTCCAAATGGTCACAAATACTCAGTGCCTGAGTTTCCAAATGGTCAGTCCGCCCCTGAACAGACGGTTGTTTCATTAAATATTAATTACTTGCCTACCGGGCACTTTGACCCCCTTCCTGCTCAGGCCAGCTTTCAGCGCTCTCATACTTTGACAATTGAGCGGTCATGCAACACTGTACCCAAACTACGCTTTTATAACTTTTTTGTAGACAAATAGAGCTTTCTTTTGGTGGTATTTGATCACCATTGGGAGTTTTATTTTTTGCTAAACAAACTAAAAAAGAGCAAAAATATTGGGGAAAAAATATTTCTTAGTTCCTGTTATAAAGTTTTGTAAAAAAGTAATTTTTCTCCTTCACTGATGGGCATTGATAGGCTGCACTGATGGGCACTGATGAGTCATTGATGGGCACTGATGAGAGTCACTGATGGGCACTGATGAGGAGTCACTGATGGGCAGCACTAATGGACACTGATTGCCAGCACAGATGGGCACATGCTGCACAGATGGGCATGAGTCACTGATGGGCACTTCCAGGCAGCACTAATGGGCACTGATTGCCGGCACAGATGGGCACTGATGAGTCACTGATGGGCACTGATTGCCAGCACAGTTGGGCACTGATGAGTCACTGATAGGCTGCACTGATGAGGAGTCCCTGATGGGCACTTATGAGGCGGCATTGATGGGCAGCACTAATGGGCACTGATTGCCAGCACAGATGGGCACTGCTGAGTCACTGATGGGCACTTCCAGGCAGCACTAATGGGCACTGATTGCCAGCACAGATGGGCACTGATGAGTCACTGATGGGCACTGATGTGGTAGCACTAATGGGCACTGATTGCCCCCCTTATTCATGGCCCTGCTTATGCTCAGCATATACAATGAGAAAATCAAACGAAAAAGTGGCTCCATTCACACTAGGGCTTTTCCAGAACCTTTTTTGGGTGCAATTTTATTTGTATGATAGCGGTATATTTGCCCTGCCTGGCGCCTTGCGTTTTTCAGGTGCCATTGAAAGGAATGGCACCTGAAAACGTGATTGCGTGTTTTCACACTTTTAGAGCGTGTTTTCAAATCACAGGCAGAATTGTGGCAATTCCGACTGCAATTTGATAATAAATCTAGTGTGAATGGAGCCTAAGCAATTGTCTGATAATCTGATTGTTAGTAAACAGCTTTTGAGAGCCGATCACAACAGTTTATGCAAAATTATCTGAAGGGACAAACAGAAAGGTTTTTCTCGTACGATACCAGAGTGTACAGTTATTGTTTAATCAGTATAGTATTCATTCAGAAAAAAATGGGAAGACCAAGACCATGTATGCTAGGAAATGAAAGAATACATTACAATGCATTACATCACTTCCAAAGTTGTATTCTGTCCGAGAATTTTCATAACTTTAGTAACCTCCTCTTTGTTTTTTGATATGAGGCTAACAAAAAAACAAAACAAACAAAAAACAACAGATGACCAGTCCAATAGTCTCATTGGGGTTTTATTTACTAAAATTGGTTCACTCAGAATCTTGTGCATTTCTGCATTGAAACCAATCAGCTTCCTCGTTTTATTGCTAAAACTTAAGGCCTCTTTCACACGGGCGTTCCGTTATTTTTCTGTCCATTTACGGATGAAAAAAACAGACCACCATTGTATTTCTATTGGCTTGCGGATGTAAACGGATGAACATATTTTTACATCCTTTAATGTCTGCATCCATTAACATCTGTTTTTTTGAACGGAAGAAAACCCTATATTTCTTCCGCAAAAAAAACCCTGAATGGATGAAAAATGGATGTCAATGGATGTAAATGGACCAAAACGGATGTAAAGCAATGTAAATGGATGAAAAACGGATAAAAAAAACAGATGAAAAAACGGGTGTAAATGGATGAAAAAATGAATGTAAACTCATCTGTTTTTTCGTTGAAAAAACGTGACTGAACTGAAGAAAAAAAAAAATGGAATGCCTGTGTGAAAGGACTCTAATGCAGGCCATAGACAGTTCGTTTATTGACCGAATTTTCGGCCAAAAAACAAAAAAAATTGGTCGTTCTGTTGCCACCAATGCTTACAAAAATCAACAGTTTTTCATAAATTTTCCAGCATGACTGATAAAAGAAACGAGGAGGAACCGTAAAAATTGGCTGACGACATTGCCCCACTAACGGTGCAAATATCGGCCGATTATTCTTTCAGATAAAAATTTGGCCGATAAATGAACCGTCTTGTTCAGCATTACTGAACAAGCTGAGGTTAGAAGCTGATTGCACAGCTGCACCAGATTCTGAGTGATCTAGCTTTATGCAGGCCATAGATGGGGAGAAAACCGGCCAATTTTTCTTTAAAACACGAAACTCGGCCGACGTTACCAGGAACGGTAAAAAAAAAAAAAATTGGCCGATTTTCAGAGAGCTCCGCTATTTCTTTGACATTTATAGCGGCTGCAACATTGTATCTATTTGTATCCATTTCGGAT